GTCGTTTTATCTTTTGGACTCATAGTTTCGCCCTGATCATTCAATCTTGGCTTAGTACAGATCATTTTTCTAACTTGCGATTTCATCCCAGTCATTCACTTTTGATCTCGACTCGGTCCTGATCGCTTTATCTTTTAGACTCTCTATTTTATCTCGATCATCCAATTTCAGCTTAGTCTAGATCATTTTTCTAACTCGTAGTTTTGTCCCGATCATTTATCCTTGATCTTGGCTCAATCCATATCATTTTTCGAACTCACGTTTCGTCCCGATCATTTTTTGTTACTAATTTGACTCTTGGATTGGAACAAAATGGGCGTCTAGGTCTTTGCACCATCCTTGTCTAATAAAGATGTGCAAAAAGGGACAATTATAGACACTCATCTATGCCTAGGGTCAGTTGGGGTCAATTTTTACTACCAATATTGTATTATAGTATGGCATAGTATATTATTTTAGTACTATTATTATATTATATTATCTTATTACCATAGTATGGTATATTAATATATTATATTATATAGTATATTATATTATTACTACTATTATTATTATTATTATTTTATTATATTATTATTATCATCATCATCATCATCATTAGTATTATTATTATTTTGCAAATTTTGCATTTGAACCAAAAGAAATTGAAAATTAGACACAGTCAAAGGTTTTAATTCATTTTCAGATTTAATCTAGACAAATCAACAAAAAATTAGCCAAAAATCATGTTCGAACAAAACCAATCTGGCTTGAATCCTGGGATTGGATTCTGTCTAATCCTTAAATTGATTGAAGATTGCCTATAAATTGAACTAGAAATTCTAGAGAACACACAGCTGATTTTTGAATGAGACAATTGATTTTAGGGGGAAACGATTGATTTTTGGGGAGAGTTAGTGTTTTGAAAAATTTTTGGCAATAAAAATTTTTTGGAATTTTGATTTTTGTCTAGGTTTGATTTGAAGTTTCTAGCTTTAGATTTAGGTTTCTAGAGGTAGGATTGAGGTTCTTAAGAGTTCTTGGAGGAATCTGGGCAAATCTGGGAAAATCTGGAATTTTTTTTGGAAAATCTGGGTTTATGATGAATTTTTGAATTTTTCGATGAAGGTTGAATTTTTTGGTGGGATTCCAGCAACTTTTCCAAAAATTGGTGGGTTTTTTAGTTTTTGATTAAAGTTTTCAGTAACTTTTCCAAAAACTAGTAGGTTTTCCCAGTTTTCGATTGAATATTCTTAGGGGTTTTTGGTTTTTTAGAGAGAAGACAGAGAAAATAGAAGCTAGAGAGAGAGTCAGGTAGTTTTGAATAAAAACAAAAGGGAATAACTTTTATATGATACCAAAATGACACTATTTTGCCAAGCCTAGATCTACGTGTAACCCAACTACGATTTGCGTGCCAACCCACATATTGACTCGACCCTATCGTAGGTTTTCTTTTTTATTTTTATTTTTTTATTTCAATTTTTTATTTCACCAACTTTTATTATTTATTTATTTTTACTAAGCTATTTATTATTTGTTAAACATCTTACAAACTTCAATTTTTATAAAAAAACAAAAATAATATAATTTTTTTTCAAATAAGTAAAAAAAATCTTTTCAAACAAATTTATGGAATCCACCAAACTATTGAAATTTTTCATAAATCATTTTTTTCAAAAAAATTAACAAAAATAAAAAGTAAAAATAAAAACAAAAATAAATATAATATTTGTCTTCTAAACTATTAATATATGGCTTTGCAAATTAAGGCTCACCAAATTATTAGGGATGATTTTTCTCAAAAATAAAAAAGGAAAAATGTTTTCACCCCCAAACGATTAGAGAATTACTTTCCAAATTAGGTTTACCAAACTATTAGGAAACTTAATGAAATTTTTTAAAATTTTACAAACATTTTTTAATAAAATCTCACAAAACTATTAGGAGATCTGCTTCCAAATAAGTCCTACCAAACTATTAGGAGATTTTAGTGATTTTTCTCAAATAAAAAAACCTTAATAAATCTGATAACGGAGCCTTTTTAAGATGGGACATTAGTCCCCATGAATACTCTCGAGAAAAGAGAATTATTTTAAACTACTACAAAACTATTGGGATAATTTTAGGATTGATTCTCAATACTAAATATTTAGATAAAACATAAAACATTTTTAAGGCTTAGATAATTTAGAATCAAACTGGTATCATCCTTGGGATAGGTGCTGTGAGGGTGCTATAATCTTCCTCATACATAACTGTAGTCTCGAACCTAAAGTTTGGTTTTGTGGATCAAATTCGATCAGGTGACCAATCATACCTAAATAAAAAATATTGGTGACAATTTCCTTGAATCCATGTGTAGCGGTAAGTCCACAGATCTATACGTTATGACAAAGATTGTTATTTATTTTTCCATGATTATCTCACCCTCAAAAGTAGTCTATTTAAGAAGGTATCTGATTTTGTTTGAAGTTTAATTTTGATGTTATATGTATGCAAGCTTGATATACACATATGTATAAGAGTTGTGTATGTATATATGAACAAAAATCTTTAAAGCTTCATGTTATTATATAATTTTATTCTTTGAGAGGATAGATTATTTAAGTAGACTGTTTGTTCATTAATTTTCAAGATGTACAATGTTTCTTATAACACAATTTTTTTTTGTACATATAAACTATATACAATTATAGAGATCCTATTTTATTTATATATAAATGTTATTTACTTTTTAATTTGAATACTTTCACAATTTATTAGTTTAATTTATTGTCATAAAATATTTTACGCAGGGGAGGGCGGGTCAACAAACTAGTGATTACGAAAATTATACTTAAACTAGTGATTATGAAAATTATATTTAACTAGTAAGTACTGTCTTCTTTTACCATTATTTTTTAATGACTTTGAGAATCTCTACTGGATACACAATGTTTGGGGTGTTTTCGTTGCGTAAAAAGTTACTTAAAATCAATAAATCATATAAAAGATTATCAGATATATTAAAAATTTTATCAATTAAATTAAAACTTAAAAAGTTGTTACATAACTATTAGGAAATATTTGAAAAATTAATATATTTATATAATAAAAATATATGTAAAAATATTATAATATTGTTTGCAAAAATTTTACTAATGATATATAAAATTTGAATTTTTTTAACATAAAAAGATTGTAATCTAAAAATAAAAAAATAATTAATGTTAAAATTTAAATTCAAATCTATTAAATTTTATTTTTAAAAATGATTGTATAAATTAAGTGGAGTAAATCCTGAATTCATAAAATATGGAATATTAATATCAAGTCATTTCTATTTTACAAGATTGGTTTTTTAACTTTACATGTCTTTGCGGACGAAGGAAATTAAAGCAACATAGGCTGAAATGGTATAAAGTCTAAAGGCTGCCAAGATGGAGCTTTTAGGCTTTTTAGCTTTTCCTGCTTAAATAAATTTGAATCCAAAATGTTGGATTAATAAAATTATACAAAAGGAAATATGAACTGAAACATTGTGATTTTTTTTTTTATCATAGTCAATTAATGAATGCAGCTGGTTAGAAATTTCCAAACGCATTTAGGACTTAACAAGTAAAGAAAATTTTTCATCTTCAATATTAATCATGCATTGGTATTTCTCTCACAAATTCTTGCATCTTTCAATTGTAAAAATATCAATGGGGATGATGCCCCGAATATTACCAAAAGAAATGAGATTATATGAGGATTTAATTATAATTAATAAAGAGAAAAAAAATTGAACATCATATACAAAAATATCCAGGATAAAATCTGATCTTTTATCATAAGAACCAATATTATCAAGGAAAATTATTTAAAAAAACACTTTAAAAGAATTCGGGTTTAATTTAATTAATTTATATAATTACTTTTAAAAATTAACATCTAATAAAGTTAAGTTCAAAGTTTAATAATTATAATCCATTCTCCTATCCTAAATCATGGCCTCCTTAGAAAAACACATTTTAAAAAGCCAATTAGGTAAGTAGAAAGATGAATGTGAGGTCTGGCTTGAATGATTCAAAGTTGGTAGTTATAAAGGGAAACCATTGATGGGAAGCATGTTTTGGATAAGATTTTGGAATTAATCTTATCTCATAAAGTGAAAGGCATATTTTCAGCAGATTCTGACCCTCAATATCTCGTAAAAATCCTTTTGTTATGGGAGAATAAGGGAGATTGGGTCAAACGCCTCTCTCAATAATTGGATGTACAAATTCGTCATTAAGCAAAGTTGCAAGTGCATGTTTGAGGTGACATTTAATTTCTTAGATTAAAAGGAAAAATTTGTTACAAGAACTTGTAATCATATATAACAAAAATCAACTTTGAGTCATGAACATGGTAGTTCAATTTGAATTTTAACACCTATAAAAAAAAATTACAACGGTGGGCAAAATGGAGTTTTTAAGTTAATTCTGATGATAAAGAAAAGAGCTCTATAATTAATATCAATCACTAGCGGAAGCACTTTGTTAGCAATATTTTAAATGAAAAAAAGTGATACAAGAGAGTGCTCCCTTAAGATTGTATAAAAAGAAATTAGATAAAGGTAAAATCTGTAATACCCCTAATTGTATTATAAAAAAAATAAAACAAAATGTTTTAGAGAAATCTATCCTTTATCCTTTATATTCACTCTGATGAAAATTTTGAAATAAAATGGTACATGAACAACATTTCTAGAGTAATGGCATTCTATTGTTCACTAGAAATTAAAATCAATGGTCTGACTTAAACAAACATAATTGTCTCATTGATGGCTAGAAACAGTCAATTTTCATCTTCAAATTCCTCACTTTGACTATGCTCTTGGAACTCATCACAATCGCATCAGGACGTACAAATCGAAGCTTGATGCTCTTTCTCATGCATTCACTAGCCTTGAAATAAATGTTGATGATCGACTGATCAACAGCCATTAGCATAACCGTGCATGGATCATTTAACTTTGTTTTCCAGGACAATATCTTGAGTTAACCATTAATTCTTCATCCAATCCTTACAAAGAATATGCTGAGTTCAGGGCCAGAGTTACCATCCGGATTCATCATATAATAAGTTTCCGAATCTCTAGAATTAACTACCCGTTCGAAATGTGCACGCATGTATGTCAACTCCCCATCAGGATTCTCCGTAGCTTCGGTTGGTATCACGCCAGCACCCATCGAAATAGGATGCAACGTTTGCATTACCATTAAATCTTCATCCGTCGGTTCCCTCCTTACTCCATAGCCTGATTTTCTACCATTACAAAATAATGTCCATATTGGCTCATCCAGGATCTTGATCTTCTCTGATGGTCGCTTTTCACATTCTAAAGCAATTCTAACAAGCCCCAACCCCATCTCCTGGAGGAGCTTTCCTGTTGTTATTGCAAGCTCAAGTACTAAAATCGGGAGGCACTTAGAGTTTTCTTGGATGGCAAGGTTAACCCTAGCTTTACGGTACCCAAATAGGGTTCCAGTCATTCGTGTCCCTCCGTGTATATGGTTGTCGTGTAGCCGGGTTCCATGGAGACTGACCGGGATCTTGCAGACAGGCGTTATGATCGGAAATGACCTGAAAACGGAACGAAAACGCCTAAAAATCTTGGAGGATTTCGAAGGCCCTTTCTTGTTTGATGGTTGTTGAAGGGAGATTGTGGGTCGGGATGCTGATGGAGGGCTTATAGGAGGAGTTGTAGATGTAGTATTGGGAGATAATGTGTGAGAGTGATGCGGTGACAATGGTGGCGTGGATGGAATATTTTGAGCTTCCATGGGTGGATCGAGAGCTTCTGCCTGCTGGCTTGTGATGAAGGGGGTTAGGGGTAATTAGGCAGGCTTTGAGGTGTTGTGAATGGCATATAAACATTTGGGAGTTTATGGCATGCACGTTGTTGAGGTTTTCCTAACTGGAAATGGGATTTTTTTTATTTATATTTTAATTATGTTCATACTCACTTATGGTTAGGCTTTAGTTTAGTTAACTAAAGATAGCCTTCTACTTGGATTTTTTTTTTTTTAAGGTTTTTACTTATATTTGTTTAAAGATTTTTTTTTCAACCATTTGAAGGCTTTTAGTTGGCTTAAAACTCGCAGTACGTTATAAATTTTTTATATATCCTATATGCATATACTACGTCTAAACCAATATTTTTTTGTTACAACAAAGTTTTTTTTTTTTACCAATTTGTTACAACAACGTTTAGGTGAGGGTGGATCATTCCATTGCAGAATCGATACATATGGTAATTTTTTTAAAAAAAAAAAACTTATATTGAATTTATAAATATTTTATAAAAAAAAACTATTGACAATGACATTGGTTAGGCAAAAAGTTAGTTTTTTTGGATAAATGAATGTGATTTTATTCATTCAAAATCAATACAAAGAATTTAGTTTATACAATAACTGTTCTTGAGAAAAAATGAAGATGTGATAAGTCAATTAAACACTTACTCATCAAGATTTCAATTACTACAAAGAAACCGATTAACAAAATTATCAACTAAGTATTAAATTCCATAAAGCCTATAGCGAACGAATTGTGAGATGATTATGATATGATCAATTTTCTTTCCAAAAATTAGGTTTGAAAGAGTTATTTAGTTAAGTAATCTAGTCGATCAAAATAACAATAGATCAATCACCAGAATAGTTGAAAGAGTACCAAATTTTTAATTTTAATAATTAAATTTTAAATCCTAACAATTTTAATTATGTTTTTTTATCGACCATGGGTAAGGGTTTTTTTTTTTTTTTTGGTCTTGATTACTTCTTTTTAGGTGGAAGTCTCTTCCATTGGAATTGTGCTTGATGATTTTTACGTTGTTTCCTATATGATTTGTAACTATGTTTCCTAGTGACATTTATGTATCTCACTTATGAAGGTTTTTTTTTTTTTTATCTCTAATAAACATTTGGCTTAAGAAAAAAAAAAAAAAACCTTGTTTATAAATAAATTAACAATGGATCATTTTACTTGCAGCAAGAGAACTACTCCATCCAACCAAAAGTAAACAAGAACAGCTTTTAGAAAATCCAATAATTTTATTTAAGATTTTTTTAATTTGAAAAAAAAAAAAAGAGATTTGAATCTACTGAATTAAATGTTCTAGTATTTATTTATGTTTATAGTGTATATTAGGAATGTTGGATTAAGTCGGACATACCATTTCTCGGACCATTTAGCATTTACCAAAACAAATAATTAATATCAGTTTTGTAATCTTCAACTTGCTTGGAAGTATTTTTAATAGAGAGAAATTCATTTAATTTCTGATTACTCGCTTCATGATTTCTTAAAATTTGACTTTCTTGATTGGAACGATTCCAGCCGTCCATTGTGTCACACATTTTGTTTAATAGAATAAGATATTCAACTTAATTAATCAATGATTATGAACGAGTCCTATTTATTTGTCATAATATATATATATATATATAAAAGAAAAAAATTAGAATTCAAGTTTCAAACTCATTAAATGATATTTTTTAAAAATAATTGTATAAAAAAATTTAAACATTTGACAGATTTTTTATTATATTATATGAAAGTGGACTTATATTAAAAGATAAGGTTTTTTAGAAAAGAAAATAAATAAATTTGTCAACAAAAATATTTTGTTTAATTTCAAACATATCAACTTGTATATTAAAAAATCAAATCTTTTTGTTGTCATAAAAAAGAAATAATTTTTTTTCTATTAATAATAGTATTCACTTTTTTATGAATTGAATTTCACTTTTTTTTTAATTTTTTATTAGCTAGAAATAATTTTCTAATAAGAAAAGAGATACTACTACCAAAATATTGTGGGAAGCACTGTATGAAATTTGACTTTCCAATCAATGTGCTATTAAAATATTTGCAAAGCACTAAAGATGCACCAGGTAGACCATTTTTAAATTAATTTTCAAAGCCAAATGTGAGGAATGAGATGTTTTAAATTACTGTCAATACTTTGTAAAAAAAACCTCGTTTCATTTGATCATGGAATCAATTTTAATGATATTTTTTTCTTTTTAAATTACTGTCAATACTTTTTAAAACCACTTCATTTGTTTCATTTGTTTTAAATTACAGCAACAAATTCAATAGAAGCAATACAAGTAAGTCAAATGTAAGAAAATACATAAAGTAATGCTGCAAATTGTAGTAGAAGTTAACCTCATTTTCTCTTTAGTGATTATCTACTTTGGAGAAGGATTTCGTAGATAGAGGTTTCCATGTTGATTTAGGTTGCTGGGTTCTGTTTTGATCGGTCATTGGCAAGACGGTAGAATGCATCAAGAAAGCAAATTTGAGTTTTATCAAACAACTGGTAAATGAAATGAAATACAAAGATTTTAATAAGAAGTTGCTCTTATTCTACTGTTTGTGAGTAGGCATATTTGAAGGCATAGGCATTAGTGAACAAATATTATCTTTATATCCTTATTCTTTAGATTAATTTCATGTTTATTTGTATTTAAATAAATATACAATTTTCATGTTTATTTGTATTTAAATAAATATATTTTTCATGTCTATTTGTATTTAAATAGACCTCATGATGACAGTACAACTGCTGGCTCAGAGAATGGCTTTTGGAAACAACTATGAAAACTGAACTTACCAACAAAGATAAAGATCTTTGGATAGCGCCTTAATAATGGAATTTTACCAGTACTTAGCAACAAAAACAAGTAGGGAATTGAGATGCAGGAGATATGCTAAATGTGTGGACAAGAAAAAGAAAAATCAATGTATGTGATCAAAAGGTATAGGGTAGCAAATGAAATCTGGAATATGGACTGTTGGGGAGAAGAATGGACTAATGCAAAACTAGAAAATGAAAGGGTTGGTTACACAACATGTTTGAGAGGGTGGATCAAAAAATTTTGGAAGTGGGGCTGACAACAAGCTGGATGATTTGGCATAACAAAAATATAGAAGTCAAAACCAATAATGTAAAAAAGCTGAAGAAACTGTGGCATTTATTAGTAGACATTAGGAAGAATATAGAGGAGCTCAAACTCATACAGTCTCTGATGTCACTAATGAAAGTGTGATATGGGTAGCACCAGAAAATGGATATGTTATGGCAAATTTTGATGGAGCACTAATTTCTTTATTTATTTTATAACTTTTACTTTCTTTGTTATTAGATTTCTAGTTTTTTAATTTTATATGCCAACTGAGCTTTGTTTTTATGATTATGATTTTTATTATTATTATGATTTTTAGGAAGCATTTAGGAAAGCCAAATTGCAGCCTGGCCTGCCAGAAACTTTTGCTCTCAAGACAATTCAAGAGGTTATAAAACCTCAGGTATTTTGAATTATAGCATTATGTATAAATCCTTGATTTTATTGAAGTTTTTACTTATGTCAAAATCATTTCCTCTGTACGAAGCTTCCTTCCAATTCTTTGGTTTGTGCATTGTTATTGTTAGGTGCATAGAATATTTAATATCCTGTATGTTAGCGTGTGACGTGTCTTACGGTTTACGCTATATTTCACGTTGTACTTAATGATTTGTAAATGAAAAAGTTGCGGTAAGGGTGGAGTTGGTGAAGGGTTTTGAACTTGGGAGCTGGAATCTTCTTTTAGGAATAGATTTGGAGCTATCAATTAGGAAAGGTATCAGACACATGCAATATCGAAATTATCATGAACTTAATCTCTGTGACTATATGCTTCACAGTATTTAACATCTTTAAATGGTTATCTTCTCTTGTTTGCAAAACCCAAGCTCAATGGTAAGCTAATCTTCTGTGAGTTTTAGAAAGGTTTGGCATGCATAAATACCAGGACCTAGGTCATTTGGCATTTCTTAATTGGTGAATTGGTTCGTTTTGTTTTCGATAGAAACAAACAAAGTTAGCTCAAGATGAAAATTAATTGCTAGAGAACATGCTTCGAGCCTTACTTTAGGAATAAGTGGTATGCAATCATATCCAGTACATTTAGATGGTTTTTACAGGTTACTCGTATTGAGGTAATTATCAGCTATGCACTTTAGCTTTCTTCTACATTGAGTATTCTCTTGTTTACTTTCTTTTCCTAATAAATATGGCATGAAAGAAAAATAAGCAAATGCTGTAATCCAGAAGCTTCTTTCAACAATTAAAACACATGGATGGATGGGGCCTTAGTTTCTTAATTATCTGAACATTTCTACGTTATGCTATCCTGGTCATTGGACAACTCTCAGCAAGCTATTCCTTCAATTTTTCTTGTTAACTTCCATGCCAAATCTTTAGTTCATTTTCTTTCTTTTCTCAATAAATATGACAAAGTTCCATAATCTTTATTTCAGTATCTTGTTCATAAACTTAAAACTTCCAATTCATGTTTGGTTGCATGGCACTGAAGCTGTCATTGTAGGTCATGTGCAATTTGCACATGAATTGTGTTACTGTCAAATATGTTAGGAAAATGGGGTCCAGTCCCATGTAAGTGGTTTTGGACCAAGTAAAGGCCATGGGGCCTTGATCTTTTATTTTACACAGAGCCCTAGCTACTTAATAAAAAAGAGGTGGGGTTGTTTTATGTGTGTGTCGACAACCAAGCAGAAAAAGAAGAAAAGCCAGGAAAAGCAGAGAGAGAAAAATGAGAAGGGAGAGTTGGTTAAACGGAAGTCGATCCGTGGTCTGATTGAGTTGGAACCTTGTCAGGAGGTTTATGATTCAGAGTTATACATTCTAAACGGTGAAGATCGGGTTTGAAGCTCTCTAGGAACAAATCCAGGGTGTATTTGTTGAGTCACTTATTTGGTGAGATTTCTCCAATTGTTTCTCTAGTTGTTGATTAGCTCTAGTTTTAGCTAGAGAAGAACTTTGT